TGTGTGTGTGTGTGTGTGTGTGTGTGCGTGTGAGCGAGTGTGTGTGTGTGGGTGTGAGTGTGAGTGTGTGTGTGTGTGTGGCTTTTTTAGCAACCGTGAAAAGGCCAAAGAAGTACATGGTCAAATATTTAGTTCCATCAGATAACACACTTTTAACCGTTTGTCAATAACATGTTGAAGGGATCTTATAATATTTTGAGTCTATTTTTTTAAAATGAAATATTTTTGCTACCAAAACTTCACAAGGGTTAAAAAATGTCTCAGAATATGGGTTTTTCTTCAACCGTTCTTTTACGCTGTGTCTGACAAAATGTCGTATATCTTGAAAACTTCTCAAGTTATTTTGAAACAAATTCAGAATCGACGCGTTCCACATTGCATTTGCTACAAGAATATTCCCTCTTTTTAGTATCCGAAATTTCTGACAACTGGGACCTTTCTCCAGGTACACATTTGGTTGCTTTTAAGGACAAGCGGGCTACCCAGATTTCGGGGGTTTCCAGAAATCTTGACCTACACCAAAAGTGGGCATTGCCCTACCTATAGGAGAAGTTTGGTTCACTTGGTGCATACATTTTAGAGAAAACTCTCTTCGTCTTTTAAAGAAACTGAACAAGGGTCCTAAAACTTTACCTTCGATTTTCTCAAAACAGCATTTTTTCGAGATAGCCCCCTTGTGCTTAACAGCGACCATTTTCAGTTAGTAGGAAAAGGTGACATCTCCAATTTTTGTTTTTTGTTGTTGTTGGTTTTTTGTTTGTTTTGTTTTTACAGATATTTTCAAATATAAAGAGCTCTGGAATAGAGGTCAGTGTGTGAAAACAATATACCAGCGCACTGTAACAGAAAATGATCTGATATTGTAGAAGATTACGTTATCATAACCATTGTACATGTACAGGCATCAGAGCAAAACGAAATTGGGACAGGAGATCGATAAATCAGTTGATTAAAAATGTACACCAGGCCGTTGGATCGGAGAAGTAAAAAATAAAAATGTCCATAAATGAGTAGTAAAACATGTTGCATGTTGCATGTGTTCTTTTCAAAGAATAATATGTGTGCCAAGGCAAAGAACAAAAGAACGAGGGACAAAGATTTGCAGGGGGGGGGGTGGTTGGCAGCTGT